GTTTTTTCTCCTTCTTCCCGTCTTTCTCCCTCAGCTGCCTTTTTGGGTACGACTGCGACCAAAAACTAAAAAATGCATTCATACCTGCTCCTTAGGAGCAATATGCAGTATGGCATCCAAAGCCACAGGAGTCATCAGATACGCAGGACCGCTACAGTAATCTGGGAAGTACGGTGCTGGATACACAGATTCTGGCACGTACCTTCAAAATATGATACGAGTTTAGAAGCCCATTAGAAAACTAAAATCGAGACTTACCACCGATTACTAGCACATCGTTCGGGCTTAGCCTTGATGATAGCATAACACTGCATGTTCTTCGTAGTAGAATTTACGAGAAGAGGCTCAATCTGCAACGGACAAAAGATCGAAAATAAAGACATCAGCAGAGCAAATCAATCACCTTATCCATCAAGATGACTGTGTCCGAATCCATCTTGAGCACAAATTTTTCTGGGTAATTTTCATAGATCCAAAGATACGCTGCGAGAATCTGAAAGTTGATATATTATGAAAATGTTAGTCACTATGACTAGTGATTAGATAAAGGTGCAAAGAATTCAGTGTTGTTGAAAGTAGATCTCAGAGTTGAATCGGTTGATTTGAAAGGAAAATTTAGAAGAAACTCTGTCTATGAATGTTTCGATAACTACATACAACACACCAAGGCTGCACTGTGTATGGGATAGTTTAGTGAGCAGCAAGAATTCATTCATACAATGGAAATTTCATAAAAGCACGTTATGCCTACTTCAAGCTTTGTAAAACATTATTGCCATATATAGTGGACAAATGTCGGGATAAACATGTCAAATATCTGTGATGGAAAGGGTAGGCAATATTCAAGCTGGTTCAAACGGTTATAATTCAGCTATTGTAAATGTCACCGCTGAAAAAATAGTTCAACTGTAATTTGCCTATAAAATGCTTTTCACTGGCTTGGAGTAAAGTTCAAAGAAGTGCAGTTGAATTATCTACGCATATACAGGTACAAGTTGTACCAAAAAGATGTGAATACTGTTCAATTGTTAATAATTCTCTTGTCATGAAATCTTTCGAGAAGTTAGGTATCATTTTGTAGAGGGAGCTTCAACTTAGATTTACATCATGATATAGCGAAATACCGACAGCTGCTCATACTATAGGGTTACGGTAGGATCTCGCAGCATTCACTACCGCCACTGTGAGATAGGACGTTCGAAAAAAATTTTCATAAAAACCTAGAAAATTGTGTAAGTCCTCATGCATGCTGATTTCATTACATAATTTTTGCGCGTTTGCAGAGTTTCAAATGGAGTAATCCAATTTTCGACAAAATCGTTGTTACGGCGTATGTGGCATAACTCAAGAGAAAAGCTTTACGGTGAAGTGCGGGCATTGAAATCAGCGAAAAATGTGACCCTCAATCATGTAAAATCCTCCTCAAGTTCCTACCGTAATCCTACGCCAATGAAGAGAGAACTACAATTCGCTTCGTACTGTATATCTGAGTAAAGCTCCCTCTACATCATGGTACTTAGACCTTCTCGAAAAATTTCATGATAAGAGAATTATTAACAATCAAAAGGTAGGCACATCTTTTTGGGACACCCTGAGTGAGACTTGATATTGAAAGCATTGTATGATAATACCTTATATACAAGATTCGGATAAGACTCGGGCACATCCACTTGTAGTACGTCATCGGCTGTCGTCAGTTCACTCCTTACTGAATAATTTACATTACCACTACCAACTAAGAACACCACGGAGACCAGCTTGTTCTGAAAAGACTACATGTAAGCAAATCAATTTCAAATAAGACTCACAACGACCTTTACTAGTTGCGAAAATGCGGGATTAGCCCATGTGTCCCTAATCGTATCTCGCATATCTGTTTCTTGCAAAGCTGAATTGACAAGCACTATCACCTTCGACCTTTCATGGATGGTTGGCCTGGTGAGATTAAGCCTAAATTTTAATTTTTGTTATAATGATTAAAAGCACGTCCTCTTGATTCGTTCGACAAGGTATAGTGGATCTTCCAAGCTAAGGTTGGGTTCGTAGTTGCCAGATCTGCGCCGTGCCAGCGCCGTTCCAGTGCCGTGCCGAAAAATCGATAGACGGTAAGACCAGCACGGCTCTGCACGGTTTCAGCACGGTGCCGACACATGGCCAACTCTTGACCTAAAAAAAGAAATGACTCACGAGTTTGGTGTCCGTAAGAAGAGACTTTCATATAAAGATTGATTAGGTAGTCGACTATTTGGATCCGTTACTTGTCGCGTGTCATTCACGAGAATGCTAGACTTCGACAATATGCCGAAGATTCCTAAAAGAGTGGTTTTACACAACATAGTAAAAACATATTCAACAATAGCAATGATAGAGACCAAGATTTTCAAAAATAAGAAATCCTAAGCATATTGGTCGCACGGATCTGGTTGCAGCGATAGCAATTTTGCCGTAAGTTGCGAGTCTCATTTTGCTTTTTTTAAGAAAGCAGAGACCAGGGTCAAGCGTGGGGTGTGGCACGCCACACCTG